TCCAATCTGTACACGAAAAGAATCCCCACTACATGACAAGTAATTCTCGTACAGCTTCTGTATGAAGATCTACAAGGGGAGTTTACCTATCTTCTCCCAAGGAAGCTCATTCCAAGCTCATTTTATTTTGTATAGCTCTATTTGTGAATGAATAGTGAATAAACATTTATTGAGCACCTACTGAGAAATAAGAAAAAGACAGTTCCTGCCCTCTTATAAGAGCTTACAATCTAATGTGGGAAGACAATACACAAAAGGAAACTGAAGTAGGGCTGGGATTTGAGGAGCAGAAGGCAAAAATCTTCTTGCCATGGGAACCCAAAAATAGCTGATGGATAATGAAGTTAGATGGGAAATTGTTAGCCCTTTATAAAAAGAGGCTCTGGAAGGAATTTATTCCTCCTCCCTCCAACTCTCCAATCAGAAGGGTGCTAAGGAGGTGATCAAAGCAGAATAAAACCATGATGATGAGATTTCAAGCTATAAGCTTATCCTGGAGGGTGCTTGATGTTCATGGAGTCAAAATCAAGCAGATCTGCATGGGAAATGGACTGTTGGGAAGGTTCTCTTGACCTAAAGTGACCTCTGCAACTTCTGCTACTGATTCTGCTTCTACCCTCTGGGGACAAACAAGTCTTCATACCTCCTCCATACAAAATATTTCAAATACTAGAAAACAATTATTATGCACCAACCTGAGTCTTCTCCTCACCAGACTTAACATGCTACTTCCTTCAATTTATTGTTGTATGACAAGGAATAAAGGCCCTTTACCATCCTGTTTGCCTTCCTCTGGACTCTCTTTAGCTTTTCAATGTCCTTCTTAAATGGGGGGAGGGAGGAAAGGGGAGGGAGTCAATAACTGAACACAGTTGTCCAGATGAGGTCTAAGGAGGGGTAAGTACAGTGGCACTGTCCCCTCCCTATTTCTGGAAGCTCTGTCTTTCTTAAAACACATTAGATGGTTGTTGTTGTTGTTGTCGTTGTTGTTGTTGTTGTTTGGCTGCCAACATCACACTACTGATGCATATGAAATATGTGGTTCACTAAAACCCAGAGATCTTTTTCAGACAAACTGTGCCTGACTGAAGAGGTCCAGGACTTTTGGGGTGCTGCTGGAACCCCAAGATCGTGTTACCAGGCCCTGTCTGAAAGAATTCAACTCAAATCTTCTTCAGCCAGAGGAAAAGTTTATTAGTGATAAAATACTTAGGGCCAGGTGACGCCCATAAAGACAAGCAGGTATGAGAGGTTCTCAGCCTTTTGAGCGTGAGATTCTCAGCCCCGAATGAGGGCCAGGGTAGATCTTATATACTTTGGGTTACCAGGGAAGGGTCTGGGAAAATGGTCTGGGAAAAGGGTCTGGGTGGGAATTCCCAGAGATTGGAATGTCTAAGAGATTGAATAGACAATAGGAATAGATAATGAAGGAACTGAAAGGTATCTGAATGAGATTAAAAGGTAGGCTAAGGCTTTCAAAGGCAGATGAGGGGCTGGGGCCTGTAGACTAGGGGAGCCAGATTCCCTTTGGGGCAAGGGCTGAAGACCTGGGCTTGGGCCACACCCCATCATAACCATGCCTCCCCCATCTTGTACTTGTAAAATTGATTTTTTGCACCTAAATGTACAGGTTTACATTTATCTCTACTCAATTTTATCTCATTAGATTCATTTTCATCCTTCCAGATCCTGACTGTCAGCCATTCAGTGAGTTAGCTGTCCCTCTGTTTTGTGTCATTTTCAGATTTTATGAGAATGTCATTTCGACATTTGTTTATGTCATCAATGAAATTGTTAAAATCACAAGGCCAAGTACAGATCTCAGGGGTCCCCAGAGGAAACCCTCTGTCATATTGACATTGAACCATTTAACTAACAGTTCTTCTTTGAGTCCTGCCAAGCAATCATTTCTGAATCCATTGTGTATCTAATCCATATATCTCCATCTTCTCCACAATAATAATAAGATATTTTAGCAAATCATTGCCAAAACCCAGAACATTCCTTTCATTTACTAGTTAATAATCCTGTCAAAAATGGAAATGAGGTTAATCTGATGTGACCTTTACTTGATGAAGTCATACCAACTCTTTGTAATCACTACTTTCCTTTCTAGATGTTTGCCAGCCATCTCTAATTACCCCAGGCATTGAAGTCAAGCTCACTGGTCTATAGTTTCAAGACTGTTCTCTTCTGTTTTGCAAAAATTAAGACATTTGTCCTTGTCCAATCTGGTGGTACCTCTCCTGTTTTCAGTGATCTTTCAAATATCACTGTCAGATGCTCAGCAATCATATCTCTCAAATCTTTTAGTACCTGAGGATGTAGTTATGTGGAAGGTTATATTGGCTCAGTTACCCATTATTGCCAGCCTTGCTTATCAAAAAGTGTTGGAGGAGGCTCTGGTGGGGAAGGAGATACCAAATCTGCAGCTTTTTGTATCACTTTCTTTTTGTCATGTTGTCATTTTCTTGCTACTTTGGGGAGGAACTGAGACTCAAGGGCCCTACCTCTTTTGCTAAGGTGTACCTATCTGGATTATCTTAAAGTTACCTTATAAACTGTCCCCACCTTTAAGCCATTGCTGATCTCCAGTGAGTAGGGCCAAAGTGTCCCTACCTTGAACTACTTAAAATAAAATCCTTTTTAATTCTCTTTGTTCTGAGTTTTGCCTCGTTAATCTGGATAAAAGTCCAAATGAAGAATTTTTCTTTCAACAGTTCCTCTGGGCAAGGTTACCTAAATTCATCAAGGACAGCTTCTGTACTCTTACTACCTCCTCATTGATCTTGGATATCAATTCCCTACTAGCCATTTTTTTGTTTCATCATTTTCAGTACTATAATGGCAAATGCCATTCTTCCCTGGCAGAGAAAATAGGCAAAAAAAAAAAAAGTTTTGAGCAGCTCTACCTGCCTTCTGTTAGAAATTATCATTGTCCCATCTGCCCTAGCAAAGATCCTATCCGATCTTTGATAAATGGACACTTTCATTGTCTTTAGTTTCCATCAACAGATTAAATTCATTCATGAATTTATCATTCTCGACACATGTTTTTACAGTCATCCTCTGTAACCTGGCCTTGCTTCTATCTTCCAGACATTAATTTTTAAAAATCCTAAATTGGTGTATGAGTTCTCTGTACCTCCACATAGGTCCCTTTCCATAAATCCCATTGTTTCCCATTGTCTTCAGAATTTCATTCTGGGTCGGTTGCTGGCGCTGCCGTGTCAGGCTTGCTCTCGGGCGAGGCGGTCGCTCTCCAGCGGCGCCCACAGCCAAGAGGGCTCGGGCAGCTCGTGGACGACGCTGACCTACTTCGTCGCGCTCCCCGGGATGGCGGTCAGCATGCTGAAAGCTTACCTGAAGTCTCCGGAGCAACACGGCCCGAATTCGTCCCCTACCCCCATCTCCGCATCTGAACCAAGCCCTTCCCGTGGGGGGATGGAAACCACACTCTATTTCATAACCATCCCGTCAATCCTCTCCCAACCGGGTATGAGGACAAATAAAGAAAACTTGGACCATGCTAATCAGCAGCAGTAGGACCATCCTTTTCTTTCTATGTGGAACAGAAAATTATATGGGCCTTGAGGTCACTTGCAGCACAGTAGTGACAAATATGCTGACCTTTTATCATTTTGCTTGTGATTGGGATGACTTAAATAAATAATTCTTACCCTAAAATAAAATTTAAAAAAATTTCATTCTGGAGCATCTCCCATCTCTCCTGGCCCAGCTTCCTTTATAGCATCCTACCTTTCCTTCTTATCCTTTTGCAGTTGGTTTGTCTGCTTTGTAAATCTGTAGTTTCACACATCACAGTTTCTCAGAGAGGAGCAATAAGACCCAAGTTCTGGATTTAAACTCTGAACAGATCTGGATTAGAATCCTGACTCTCCCATTTACTAGCCATGTGACTCTGAGCCACAATCTCCTCCTCTGTAAAATGGGAATAAGAACGTAATGTTAAAAGTTGGAAAGAGCCTCAGAGGACATCTATTCTAACCTGCAGTTGAATAGGAATCTTCTCCACAACATCCCTGACAAGTGATAATACAGTCTCTGTTTGTCAACTTCCAGGGAAGGACAACCAGCTCTTTCAAGTAAGTGGACATTTTGGGACAGCTCTAATCTTTAGAATAGTTTTCCTTGTGTAGCCCAACTTAAATAGCCTCTTTCACGGAGACTTAAAGAAACCAATTTCACAGTCCTCTAACTGACGGATGGGGTCGGGGAGGGGGCTCATGCTAGATGTCAATCAAAGCAGGGCCAAGTTAAATCGAGGACAGACAGGGAGGCCTCTAAGCATAAAACAACAGTCCCAGCCACCTGGTCCTTTTCCTGAATACTATAACTCTCATTTTCTGGAAACCTATAACCTCGTTTGTGCTCGAAGTTTGTTCCATTAAGATAAGCTTGGATTGATTTGATTTTTAAAAATGGATCCCAACACTTACACTTCTGTCCCTTTTGGCTATTCTAACCAGGTAACATAGTGGACAGGAGCACTGCTCTTGGAAACACAAAGCTCTAGGTTCAAATTTAGCCTGAAGTACTTATAAGCTATATGACTGGGCAAGTCATTTAACCTATCTGCCTCAGTTTTTTCATCTGTAAAATTGGGATAATAATAGCACCTACCTTCCAGAGTTGTGATAAGTGTAAAATATTTTTAAAGTGCTTTGTAAACCTTAAAGTGCTATATAAATGCTAGTTATCATCATCATCATTATCATTATTATTTCTGGCTGTATTTAACATTCTTTTGGTCTCCAAAGATCCCAAACCTGAGTTTTTGAGGTTCCCATGGGTGATGTAATCTCACTAGTCATACTCTGTACTCCTTTCTCATCCCATCCCTATTTCTGCTACACCAAATAAACATTCAGAGAAGAGAGTGCTAAAACAACAACAACAACAACCCAGTGTGTAGCTACTTCCTTATATTGAAAGGAAAGAATTTTCTGAGATTAGGGTACTCTACTTCCTCTAAAGTTACTCCAACCCAATGCCCTAGGAGCCCATGTAATCAGATCGCAACTGCAACCAACACAGATGTGCCCATCTCCGTACCTTCTACTGAGGAACTTGTGCCTACCCCTTTCCTCCTGGGCCCCATGCTGTTGAAGGTGGCTGTGCTGCTCTTGGGTAAGTAAGCCACAGGGGAGCCTCCTGGGCTCTGGGGGCAGGAACTCCAGGATGGGAAATCTGAGAGCTCAGGTTTCTCTCGTCCAACAGAGTCTACTTAGGGAGCTAGAAATGGGAGACAGTAAAGGAAGTGGGCATAGGTTCATTTTCCCAACCCGTCCACATCTAGCTCCCTGGCAGGGTGATCAGATTATCAGAGAACCCAAGAATTTCAGAGTTGAAAAGGACCTCAGAAACCATCTAGTCTAAGCCATACCAGAATGAGAATCCTCTCTATAAAATCCCCTATGGCCTTTTCTTAAAGAGCTCCAGGAAACCCACACCCTCCTAAGGCAGCCCATTCCACTTTTGGTCAGTTCTCTTGGAGAAAAACAACTGTTCCTTTATCAACTTCCCTAATAAAATGTGCAACCCGGAACTGAAAACAATGTTTTCAATGCAGTCTGACCTTTTTCTTTACGTATAGCCAAATCTTCCTCTACAACTTCCACACATTGCTCCCACTGTCTGGGACCAAACAGAAGGTATTGAATCCTTCTGCTATAGGACAGCTGGGTCATATCTTTGTGCTCCCCTCAAGCATCAGAGTATTTCGCACATAGTAAGGGTTCATAAAATGTTTATCAAATTGACCACCTTGCAGGTTGATTGGTTGAACTCTTTGAACCTATTTTTCTTAGAAACTTGAGTTTCAGAATATCACTCCCTGTCCTTATTGCCAAAGACTTCTACAATGCATCCCTACCCTATCTATTCAACCCAACAAATAAGTCAACAAACACTTATTAAGTACCCACTATGTGCAATACACTAGTAGCCAGCCTTCAATCAATTAATCAAGTCTTTATTAAATGCTTCCTACATGCCAGGCCCTATGCTCAACTGGGAGATTCAAGGAAAATGAATGAAACAATCCTACTCACAAGTTTACATGCAAATGGAAAAGATAGGTACACAACAAACAAATGTATGTATACACACATACATATATAATTATATGCAGAACAAATGCAAAGACAATAAATGAAAATAGGTATTAAGTAGTTATATACAATGTTGTTTGGGAGGGAAGCCACTAGTAGTTGGGGGAAGTCTATAGTGTAAGATACCTGGGGGGAGGGGGCCAGATGGTAAGTGAAACCAGAGTCAAGACATATTAAGTCCTAAATCTTGCTTCTTCCTTGCGCCTCCCCTAACATTTTTACCCCAAGTAAATCAGGCTAAAATATACATTAGGGAAAGCCTCGAAAGAATTAAAAAAAAAAAAGAAGTCAGTCACAAAACTGGAAGAACCCAAAGGAAAGGAAAGTGTGGAGTGTGGTCATAGGAGGACCAGTTTAAACTTTTGCCTTAGTGAAGAAGGACTGTCTGTCGTATGTTTAGACCTAGAAGAGAGTTTAAAGTCCATCCATTCCGACACTCTCACTTTACCAATGAGAGTACTGAGGCACAGAAAAGCTCAGTGACTTGCCCAGGGTCACACAGCTAGCGTAAGAAAGGTATTGAACTAGATCTCCCTGACCCCAGGTCCTACTCTCTATCGACTGCATCAGGAATTCAACACCAGCTAAAAGGGAATCAATTTCACAAAGCTGCCTCACTGCCATTTACTAGGGTAGAGAAAAAATGCAGTTAGACATATGACAGGCCAGGAGTCTTTGCCCAGAAAGTTAGTCCTTAAATTGATCTGAGAGCTGGCCCCTCCCCCTTGTAATTTCTATCCACAGGTCCTGGTTGTGCCCTCTAGAGTAATAGCTGAATCTGTTTCTTCTTCCACTTTCCATCTCTTCTGAAATGTAAGGACCACTATTATGCTATTATGATACTATAGGGCAGGTGTATGCATTCAGTGGATACCCCAGGTTACTCTTTGGAGCATTTGTTTTTGAGCCCTACTCCTTTTTCCAAATGATCTGGGGTTCCTTACTCTTGGGCTTTGAAGAAAATCATTGAAAGGAAGGATTGATCAGATCCTCTTATTCACCTTATTTCACATTATTAGCAGAATTGCCCTTTAAATGAGTGATTTTGTGATGAACTAACCACCATGCTCAGGAACCAGAACACAGGCATAAATCAAATTTAACAATTTGAGAGAGAAGTTTATTGAATTAAGTCAGTAGAAGTCTCAAAACAGGTAGAAATAAGATTAAATGTTCCTCAGATCTGTGTCTTGAGTTGGGTCTCCACCAACTATCCAATACCACCACCAGTGGGGGAGAAAAAAGGGTAGCCAAAGGGAAAGGACAAGTGGCTGTTGGGAAAGAGGGAAAGGGGGAGGCTCCCAGGCATCCCAAGAAGGATTTCTAGATGAGATATAGTTGGGGAAAATGATAACAGCCCAAGCTGAGGTGGGTGCTGGAACCAAAGGAAGTAACTTTTTCCAGGTGATAATACCAAAGATGACTGGTGGAGAGGCAGGTGTCAGAGAGAGAAGAGGTAGCTTTCCTTGTTTTCTTTTAAGGTTCCATCTCATTCTAGATGATTTCATTTTCTTCTTCTGAGGACTTTAGGCCTGTGATTGGCTGAATGGAATGGAATGATGACAGAGGGCTCAAAAGGTTCATCCTTCTTGCTAAGAGAATCTTTTATCTAAAGGAAATTAAAAAAAAAATCTGCTTCACTTGGACTGAACTGAACACATCACAGTTTTGAAAACAAGAAGAGATCTTCTCCACTGCTCTGAGATGTTAAGCCAAGATAGTGAAATTGCATGACCAGCTGAAAACAAGCACACTTGTCCCAAGGAGTTGTGCGTATGTGTCATTACTCGCTTGTTTGACCACTAACTTGTTTGACCATAGCCAAGGGGGGTGGCCAAGAGGCTTATTCCTTCAGAGGGCACAATTTAGCCTTAGTTTAAAGGAATTTAAGTTTTCACCTGGAATTCTGACCTAAATAGAAGACATTTGAGTGGTTAAGGGAAAAACCTAACAAAAATTCCAATGTTAAGGAGGAAAGCGGTTTTAGTGTACCAATATAGCTACATACACATGTATACATTCTCTAGCAAGCAATTTCAGTACATTTATGCTCAGGGAAGAACAGTTTATATTATTGCAGTTTATAATATTGCAGTCAGTGAAATTACAATAATCCTAAATTGCAAACACATCCTTATATACATTGTTAACAGGAATATAGAACTAAAGAGACCAGATTTGATGGAAAACTTGACAGCATTTAAGTTCTGTTGGTGCTGCAGCAGAAATTCATTCTTTGGCTACCTTCCTTAAACCTACAGAAAGGTAGCATGTCACTACATTAATTATCCAGAGAGGGAATATAATATCTGAGATGCTCACTAGGTGGCACTATACTCAAGCCCACCAACTGAGTAGTCTTATCAAGGACTTCAGTATACACTCAGAGCTTCTCATACCAGGAAACTGCATAGCATTAATGGTTAGGCAAGTTTAAAACTCATACTGGCCTAGTTCTGAATTTAGATTAGTGGATAATTCAATGTTTTTCATATGAAAGCACACAGCTTAAAGCCAGCCCTTAATGCCACACCTGAACTTTCCTTTCTCAGGGTAGGCAAATGTCTCCTGCCCCCCAAATCCACAAGGCAGTCATCAAATGTAGCAATCACTACAGCTACATAATGTATTTAACATAACGACAATGCCAGGGAAAAGGTTTCAGCACTTCTACATGGGAGCTCTCACACCAGCCATGCCCCAAAACCTCCTCCTGCTTGCCCTCCTAGTTTTTTCAGGGATTATCCCAAAGCCTTCCACTGCCACCCAAAGGAAAAAAAACAAAGGAAGGTCCTGCATGTCTAGATCCTCAGGATCAGGGCTATAACTTTAAGCAAGGGAAAACAGAGGAAGTACAGGGAAAGAGATCAGTCTTTCCCTTTTCTCATCAATATGAAAGGAGTCACAGCAGCTGTCAGTCTCCCTACCCTGATTTGGTGTCTCTGGCCTCCAGATCATTTTGGCCTTAGGCAGAGTATGAGCCTAGCAGATAAAGCGTCTGTAGAGGGCCACACCAATAGTATTAGTCCAAATGCTGTGGCTATACCTCCTTTTATCTAGCATGGCACAACAGGAAGACTCCTTCAAATGGCAAAGAAAGGAAGGGGATAAAATCAGTTCTGGATGCCGAAGTACATATCTCATTTCCTTCCTACTACATGGCTTCCTGTCCATTGTGAGCCTGTACTGGTGGGAATATTGATGTTTTCTAGTAAAGAGGAAAGATTTGACCAATTTCTGAAACGTTCTCCCAAAACTTTTGCTTAAAACTGCACTAATACTTTTGGGACACCCCATATGTTACTTTAAGGTTTGAAAAGAATATTGCACATGTTACCTCTTGCAAGCCTTGCAACCACTGTACTACAGGCATTATTATCTCCATTTTGCAACTTAAGAAACATACTAGGGAGGTTAAGTGTCTGACCTATGGTCACAGTTAACAGGTGTTAGAGGTGGGCTAGATTATAACTTCCTAAAATTTGAACATTAAACACTTCTTAGAGCTGCCTAAGAAGAAGTTGAAATACATGTTCTTTCATGAGGCAGCTGGTGGTACAGTGGCTAGAGTCCTGGGCCTCTAGTCAGAAAGACCTGAGTTCAAATCTATCCTCAGACACTTGTTAGTTATGTGACCCTGGTTGAGTCATTTAATCTGTCTCAGTTTCCTTAACTATAAAATGGAGATAATAATAGCACCTACCTTGGTATTGTAGGGATTAAATGAGATAATATTTGTAAAAAGCTCGTGGCACGGTGTCTAGGTACAAACCAGGTACTCTATAAATGCTTATTCCCTTCCTCCTTTTACTATCCCTTCTAGCTCTAAATTCTACAATCTTCTTGACTCTCGACTTAGTCATCCAAAGTATTAGCTATCACTCTTACTTTTGTATCTTACACAAGTAATGGTTCATCACTGATACAGAAAAATTTAACATTGAAGAAGCTAGGGCTTTAGCACAGCTGTTCAATCAGCTACAAATCCACCACCACATAAGGCCCAGCCCACATTGCTCCATTGTGTTCATGAGGGCATCATGAGAAACTTGGTCACTGGCCTTTTGGAAATGTTCTACTGATTCCTTTTTTTCCCATTCCACCACATTTCTTCAGCATGAACATATAATTGCTTCTCCCTCCCTTGAAATCTTTAAGAAGAGACTAAATAACTATCAGGATGTTTTAAGGAGACTTTTTGTTTGGGAATGAGTTGAAAGAATCAACCAATAAGTATTGATTAAGCACCTACTATGTACCAGGCTTTGTTAGGCACTAGGGTATACAAAGACAAATTTGAAAATGACTGCCCTCAAGGGCTTTTATTCTATCAAAGAAGACACCTTGCATGTGTCCATACATAAGGACACACAAAATAAATGCAAGTTAATTTCAAGGGGGAGGTGTCAACAACTTGGAGGATCAGGAAAGGCTTCGTAGAAGGTGGAATTTGAGCTGAGCTTAAGGTACTTCCAGTTCTAAATCAATTATCCTGTGACTTTTATCTTTTCTGTGACCACCACTCTGAACCAGAGGGTGGCACACCGTACCCTACTAGGGGACCCCCAGGTCTGGGTTCATGAAGAATAAGGTTCTGTCCCAGAAAAATCGGACTTCTAAAAGAAAGAAATCAGGCTCACTACTCTCTGGCTCATTACATTCCTACTCCAGAGCCCTGGGAAAATCTCTTAAAGCTTAGATTTAATCATGTCTAGGGTCTACCCAAAAGGTATAAACAGAGTCCCTTCTAGAAAGGTACTCAATATAAGGCAAGGGAATAAAAACAAGCATTTATTAAGTGCCTACCACTTGCCAAGAACTGCTGAGTATTCTATAGATATTATCTCATTTGATCCTTACAACAACTCTGGGAGGTAGATGCTGTTCTTTATCCCCATTTTACAATTCAGGAAACTGAGGCTAAGTGACTTGTCCAGGGTCATACACACAGTAACATCTGAGGCTACATTTGAATTCAAGTCTTCCTGACTTCAGGCCCAGTGTTCTATCCATTGTACCCCCTAGGACTGCCTCAAGCGATTTTACAAATGTTATCTCATTTGTTACAAAAAGTAGATCAGACATAAGACAACTCTTCATTTCTCCTACCACAAAGAAATACTGAAAAGTGAAGACTCATAACTATGGATTGACAAATACATAAAGCACAATATAACAACCAACATCTCTGGGGTACTCTCCTGGGAAATTAATATTTAAAATGTTAAAATACAAAACATTACATAGGGTTGCTGAATAGGCATAGCTCCTCTATCTTAGTTCTGCTAAGCAGTTCCCTCAAGGTCCATGTCTTCTGGCAAGCCAGGGCATGGTTTAGGCTCATCCTCCTGGAACTGATCATCTCCTTCAAGAAGCTTTTTAAGAAGTGACCTCCTTCTGGGCAGCCAGCACCAGAACCCAGGAATTCTCAATCTCTCAAAGTCAGAGAGTTGCTTCTAAGGCAACTTACTATCCATCTCAAGATAGCTGTTCAATCACCTGTGTCCAAGGAAAGAAACAAAACAAAAGAGACAGGTAGGAATTTAAGAACCAGTCTCAAATTCATCTAGACTAGCTCATGTTCTCACTGCCATGAATAGCGTTGAGGAATTCTCACAACCTCTTGGGAAACCCTGGACTGTCAGCAGGCCTCCAATGACTGTTGGTCAAAGACAGGAGGCTAATCCAAAAGTAAACAGCTTTATTAGTAAAGTAATAAATCTGCTCTCACTGTTGGCAAAGTCACATTCCTGGGGCACAGATTCTATTTTTATAACCTTGCAGGCCTGCTTTGAGTGCACAGCCAAGCAGTAGCATTTCAGTAGCCACTCTTCTTGTTGTTCAGTTGTTTCCATCACGTCCGACTCTTCCTGGCTCCATTTGGCATTTTCTTGGTGCAGTTCTGCCTCATTTCAATCCAATTCATGTGCAGTTCAAGACATCACCCCGAGATGTCATTGTTCCTCTTCATTTAAAAAAAAGGGACAAACAACTGGAATGGTTTGCCATTTCCTTCTCCAGCTCATTTTACAGATGAGGAAACTGAGCTAAACAGGGTTAAGTGACTTGCCCAGGGTCACACAGCTGTCTGAGGCTGGATTTGAACTCAGGAAGATAAGTCTTCCTGATTCGAGTCTTGGTACTCTATCCACTGTTCCATCCAGCTGCCCCCTGTGCAATTTAGGATGAAGTAAAGCATTTGACAGGAGAGCAAGGGGTAGAAAAAGAGTCAAGGAAGTCAGTCAAGAGAGAAAAGGGGAGTACTTGGAATGCAGGTAGCAGGATTCATTAACAAAATAAGAAAATATTCCCTGTTCAAGGTCAGGAGACAAGGGGAAGAAACTAAACACTTTTATAATTGTGAAAACAATCCTTTTAGATAAAACTGCAGGGTCTCTTATCCAAGGACAGCAAGTAATTGTTACAACCATGGATGAAACTATCTGTTTTACTGCATCCTTGAGTAGAGATTGGAGACTTGCTAATAATAGGCCACCAGGTGTTTGGGGATTTCTACATTCCTCAAGGTGATGAGGAATGATTATGGTTCCTATTTTTTCCCCAAAAATAGATACCAGGGCAGGGTTGGGGACTTCCTACCATGGAAAGTTAAAAAAAAGAGCTATTGGCATCCCATGCCACATGCTATGAGACAGCAGGAGTAAAAATTGTTTCTCCTTATAAAGTCCACTGAGTGAGAGGCTCTTCTAGCCCAATACTCTTTCTTAACCAATGTACCCCCATTATGGGGTGGAGGAACACCTAGGGACCAACCAGAAACCTCTGGTTACATATGTTCTTTTTATCAAGGGGTTCACCAAAAGGGGCCAGGCCCAAGGCCTATCCCCATACATGCTCTCTGTTACATAGGCTTTTAGAGTTTGGAAGAATTTTAGACATCTGTTAGTCCAAATCCATCATTTTAAAGATGAGGAAACTCAGGCCCTAAGGAGGGGAAGTGACTTGCCCAGAGTTCCACAAGTAATTAGTAAATAGAGTCAAAAGTTTAAACTTGGGGCATTTCACTCCAAATCTAGCACTTTTTCCACTATACCTTACACAAATTGTAAGTTTAACACAAAGTACTAGAAATTTGTCTTGTATGAGTCCCTAACAGAATATCAGACTGGGCCAGAATCTCCTTTCAAAATGAGTGAAAAAAAAAAAGAATATAAGAGCTGTGAGATGTCTTCTACAGGCTCCATCTACAAAATGGGGATAAAGGATGCCTTGCTGGGTGGGGACAATGAGAGGGATATCTTTAGGAATGAACATCATATAAAAACAAAAGATGTCAATGCAAATTTTATGAATAAGATGGGACTATTAATGCTTTCATAACCTACTTTATAGGGTTATGAGGGTCAGATAGCATACTTTGTAAGAATAAAGTGCTATATAAATGCAAGCTCTCTTTATAATTATTCCTCCCAGAGGGATTCCTACAAGGACTCTATGTCCATTCTGATTGTGTCTGACCACTACGCATGCTGAACCATTTATAGTCTGTCTGTTCTGTCCTAGATCTTGGCTTTGCAAATCTTACTCTTCTCCTCAGATGTACTCCTAGGGTTTGTTGGCTGCAAACCTTGCCTTCCCCTCTTTCTGGGTAGCACTCAAAAGTCCGAGTTTTGCTTTTTCCCATTCTTTCATTGCTTCTGGGAGACTGATAGGCTTTTATTACCCAGAGTTGCTCTCTGCTGCCTTCTGCTGCCTGAGGTGAAAATCACATATTTCTTGCCTTGCCAAGTCTTTGGCAGTCTGAGGAAACATAGTGGACTCCTTCTCAGAACACTGTTTTTAAATGCATAAAACAGAATCCCTAAAATTTTAAAGGACAGTGATGTCAAAATTAAGATGAATTTTTTTCCCATCTAAATTCAAATACTCTCGAAATCTATCTGTGGACCCCAGAACTATCTCCTGATAGCCTGGTGGTTGGTCAGCCTGCTTTGTCTCTCCCTCTGCAGTTCATCTTCCACTTAGCTGTCAACCTGATCTTTCTAAAGTGCAGGTCTAACCAGATCACTTTCCCATTCAACAAACCTCTCTGGCTCCCTATTGCCTCCAGGATCAAAACTATGGTGTTCAAAGTCCTTCAGAATCTGGCCCGCCTCCTACCTTTCCAGTCTTACACCTTACTCCTCATCACATCCTCCTCAACCCAGTGACACTGGACCTCTTGCTATTGCTCAAACAGGACACATCATCTTTTGACATAGGGTATTTTCCATGAACTATCCTCCTGTGCTTGGAATACTCTTCCTCCTCATCTCTCCCTCACGGCATCCTTCAAATCACAGCTAAAATCCTATCTGATTTTCTTTCCCGATCCCCCTTAATGCTTGCTTGCTACCTCATGCTTAATTCCCCTATCTACTGTTGATTATCTACAATTTATCCTCTATATGTCTTGTTTGGACGTGGTTATTTTGCAAGTTGGCTCCCCATTAGACTGTAAGCTCCTTGAGGGCACGGACTATCTTCTGCCAATTCTTTGTATCCTTACACTATGCTTGGCACACAATAGGTGCTTAATAAATGCTTTTTTGACTGGCTTACTGACTGACTGATGACGAACCTATTACTTTGAAAGGTAGCCTCCTCTACCTTTGGATAACTCCATTAGGAAGCTTTTCCTGACTTTGAGCCTAACTTTGCGCCTAACTTTGCTTTATTTTGCAACTTCTACCCATTTCCCCCCGTAAGCCAAGCAGAACAAATCTCCCATATGACAACCCTTTAAAAATATGAACACAGCTGTTATAGGATCATAGATTAAGAAAAACAGAAGAGACTTTAAAGCTACAGAGGAGTCAAGGTCCACATGTGGCCCACTACACTCCCAAGAGTGGCCTGAACCAGATGGAAATGTAATTTGTGCATATTTAACAAAACAAACAAAAAGACAATAAAACATTGATTATATTTTCTATTCCTATATATTTCTATATTATATATATCCTATATAAATATATATTGTATACATTTCTACTGTGTTTTTTCTAAGTAAATATACAGCCAGCATTCTTGCATGTATGCATATATATACATATATGTAGAGTTTAATGGCCTCTGTTTCTATCTAAGTTTGACAACATTGATCTAGTTCAATTCTCTCATTTTGCAGATGAGGAAACTGAGACCCAGAGAAGTTGTTACTTATACAGATAGTAAGTGATAGAGCCAGGTTCAAACCCAGATCATCTGATGACAATCATAATTAATATTTATATGATCCTTTAAGGTTTGCAGAACACTCGCATATTTTATTTCATTTGATCTTCACAATAACCCTATGAGTCTGGTACTGTTATTATTCCCAATTTTCAGATAAGTGATGTACCCAAAGTCACACTGCCATTTGAGTGCTGTCAAGTCCAGAAATAAACAAAAGTCATGAGTTGGGGGATAAAGTGTCTTTAATTAGGGTCACAAGGTAGCAAACCTGACACCCTGGGGGATGTCCAGTGGATTTCCCGATTCTAAGAACCATGCATAAGCTTTTTATACCTTTAGGAGGAGAGGGGGAGGAGGTAATATGAGATAGCAAGGCCTGGTCATGAGACCCCAGCCACTCCTGGCAATCTGAGCAAGGATAACCACTTCGTTCTGAGGTTTTGCCTTCATGCCATGAATCGTAGTAGAAGGAGGAAAGGACAGCAAGGAGCTAGATCCAGCTTGAGCCAGGTTCCCCCTCAAGGCAAGATTTCAGGACGGGATTTAAGGTCTAACTCAGCTCAACATAATCACCATCATCTTGCTGGGAATGTTACTGACATTCTGACATTGCTAGCTTCATTTAGGGAGTGGCAGGTAACATCAGATTTGGCATTAACAGTTCCTGTTCTCATGTTAACAATTATATTAACAGTTTTCTGTCAGTGCCTGAAAGAGTAATACAGCTCAGGTTGCCTTGACTTGAGATCCAGCTCTCCACTCTACCATGCTACCTAGCATCCATATCCAGCCTGCTTTCCGTTGGCCAAGTTGTTTAAGATTCCTATAAATATTACCTAAAACAGTCATGCAGCAGACATGTTGGAAGGCATGGGGTACTTTACCATTTAGCACACCTCTCTAAATCAGTAATGACTTATAGTTAGATTGATCTTAAATTAAATGATTTTTTTTCTTGGCAGACTGCATACAGACTACAGTTATCTGTGGGGGGATTTTATTCTTCAACCCATCAAACATATCCTTTTGTTCTCCTATGTGTACATGTTGTCTCTCTAGCTGTAGTGCCATGTCCTTTAGGACAGGAAGGAGCTGTATCTTCTATCCCTTTTATTTCTCCTCCCCACAATGAGACCTAGTATTTCAGTACCAGGTGCTCTGCAACTTCAATCCAAGTTTAATCCCTCCTCCCTATGAGAAAACCCTTCCTAGAGTCTCACCTGACCTTCATCTCTCTGCTCTCTTACAGCTCTGTTCATGGGGAAGTCTGGTGAGTTCCGCCTTCCTTGTTTCTCCCTTCTGTCCTACATTCTGACATTGTGTCCTAGCCCTGATTTCTCAGGAATCAAGGTATTTGTGTGAGGAAGAATCCCTTCACTCCCCAGAGCTTTCTGTGGCAGGGGGTGAAGGACTGTGAAAAGAACACTAATTTTACACTGATCTAATATCCCCTCACCCCAGAGCTGGAGCTAGCAAGGACTAACCCTCTCCCACTGCTTTTTGAATTACCCACTAGCCCCTCTGCAGCACAGTATCTCTGACCTAGAGGAAGAGGTCCAGTGTAACTTTCACTCACCCTCACCAAGGACTCTGGGCCTTATTCTACCTCTCCCCCATTACTCCCCACACACACCCCTACCTCCCTAAACCTCACAGGGAATTCTGGGTCGAACACCCCACTCACCGAGAGTTCTGAGCCTCCCTTTCTTTCTGTGATGAGCTATGTTCCCTTCCCTGACATCCCTGATCTTCAATCCTCCCCACCCTCACTCTGATTCTCACTTTCCCCTCACTAAGAATTATTCTGAGCTTTGTTCTCCTTTCACTGAGAGCCCTGAATCTCACTTCCCATCACTAAGCAGCACCTGAATATCAATTCTACCTCATAGAGCACTCCAAACCTTCCACTTTCTTGGTGGGGACCATGAGCCTTACTATTCACTAAGGGTTCTAAGCCTCACTGTCCTCAGACTAAGGGCCCCGAGCTTCCCTCCCTTCTAGTTATTCCTTACACTCCCCTTCCTTCAGATTTCAGAGCCACAGTCCCTGGTATCTGCATAGCTTTCTCCTTTTACATCTCAGATGTCATCACAAGGCCCATCTTGTCTCTTCAACCTCCATGGACCACTGTCTTCATTTATGAGAAAGTATATTTGACATGTGGGCATCTGGATCTCATGGGATTAGGAGACATCTTATGGTACAAGGAGGGGAAGAAGTTCCACCAAACCTCTAGAAACACCACTGTGATCTGGAAAAGTGGACAGTACAGCTGTGGGGGCCAAGATTCTGCCCTCAGTGACCCTGTGAACATCACCTTCTGTAATGGTGAGCAAGGGGCATAGTGTGGCTCCAGGGAATCATGTCATGTCTGTCATTTGAAGATCCCAAGGAAATGTACTAGGGACTCAACTTTGGGTGTCCTCCCTCCCCTTGGATCCCACATTCTTTCTAAAAATTGGCAGAAGCCTGGTCTGCATCTAGAGTTTATGGAAGAGCTAAAGATTTTGGGAAGCATATGGGGCCAGGTACTGGTGACCAGACAGATGGAGATGTTTTTAGACAATAATAAGCATCATTTGTTCTACCCTTATGAAGGTCTTCAGAGGCATGTTTGGAATGGGTGAAAAGGAGGATTTTTATGAGTTATAAGAATTTTTTCTATATTGAACTATTATAGGGATTTGATAAGGAACATGTACTAATGCAGATAAGTGCCTTCTCTTCCATTTATAATCAGAGTTGTCTAGGAGCACTGAGAGGTTAAGTGACTTGCCCAGAATCACACAGCCAGCATGTGTCATAGGTAGGCCATGAGCCCAACTCATCCCAACTCTGAGGGTACCTGTCTATCCAGAGGGCCATGCTTGCTCTCAAGTAAAAAATAGTTAAAAAAAAAAAAGGCAGAAATGTACCAGTTTAGAGAAGAGAAGTTTGGGGGGACTGAGGGGGTAGAAAGGGAGAAGGAAGGAAGAAAGGAAAGAAGGAAGGGAGGCAGGGGAGAAGCAAGGGAGAGAGAAGGAAGGAAGGAAGGAAGGAAGGAAGGAAGGAAGGAAGGAAGGAAGGAAGGAAGGAAGGAAGGAAGGGAGGGACAAAGGGAAAGGAAGAAAGGAGAGAAGGCCTTCTTTCAAGAGAGCGGACCAAAAAAACCCGTAAAGGAACCAAAGGAAAAGAAGGTCAGAAAGGAAAAAAAGGAGAACAAAAAGGAAGATGTGGCTGAAAAGGTGGTGGTGAAAAAGCCTCAAAAGCTTTGCAGTCGGAACCCAGTCCTGCCCTGAGGGATTGGTAGATACTTAAGGTCTGCAATGTATTCCTGGTGAGCCATGTACAAGCAGAAATACACTGCACCAAAAATCCGGATTGAAAGGAAAAAGAAAGAGAAGCTGCCTGCTGCTGTCTCAAAGCCAGTTGTGGTGATAAGAATGGAGGAACCCATGTGGTAAAGATTTTGAAGATGCCTAGGTATTACCCTACTGAGGATGTGCCTAGAAAGCTGCTAAGTCATGGCAAAAAGCCCTTCAGCCAGCAAGTGAGAAGACTTCAAGCTAGTATCACCCCGGGCACCATTCTGATCATGACCATTGGCTACCACAAGAACAAGCCAGTGGTTTTCCTGAAGCAGCTGGCTAGTGGCTTGCTACTGGTGACTGGACCTCTAGCCATCAACCATGTTCCTCTGAGAAGGACCCACCAGAAATATGTCATTGCCATCTCTACCAGGGTTAACCTTTTGGGTGTAAAAATTCCAAATCATCTTACTGATACTTACTTCAAGAAGAAGAGGTTCTGTAAACCATGAAGGAGAGACTTTTGACACAGAAAAAGAGAAATATAAGATTACAGAGCAGCACAAGACTGATCAGAAAACAGTGGACTCTCAGATCCTGCCCCAAATCAAGAAAATTCCTCAGTTCCATGGCTACCTGCATTCTGTATTCTCTTTCTCCAACAGAGTTTATCCTTCCAAGCTGGTGTTTTAAATGCCTTGCAGAGAACTCTTAATAAAATATTTAGAATAGAAAAAGAAAGAAAGAAAGAAGGAAGGAAGGAAGGAAGGAAGGAAGGAAGGAAGGAAGGAAGGAAGGAAGGAAGGAAGGAAGGAAAGAAGGAAGGAAGGAAGGAAGGAGAGGAGGGGAGGAAGGGAAGGAAGGAAGGAGATGAAGGTAGGAAGGAGGGAAGTGTTATTCCATAGCCCCTGGACCCTGGGCATTAAATGAAGAGCAAAATATGACCCATAGCTCTCACTGAGAGGAAAGGAGGTCACCTTGGGATTTACCTCAGACTCTTGGTGATGGACATGCTAAGAGGCTAATATGAAAGCCCTAGAAAAGGGAGACAGGAGAAGGATCATGAGTGGGGTTTTAAATGACTCAGAAGATCATGTCATGGCTGGTGTAACATTGATGAATGACATTAAGATTATTCAAATAGTCAACAAATATTTACTGAGGAGGCTGTTTTTTAAATAAATTTTTATTGGTATCTTTTGTTTTTAAATCTCCTAAATTTTCCCTTTTCCTTCTCATATGCTCTCCCAGAGAGCCATCCCATGTGACAAAGATTTTCTTTAGAAAAAAAAAATAGAAAAAGAAGGAAAGATAAATCAGTAAAATTGATCAACATATTAAAAAACTGATTATATTTAATGTTACACACTGAACAAACACACACACACACACACACCTCTGCAAAGTAGTGAAGAAAGATGTTCCCTCATATATTTTCTTTGGGATCAATCTTGTTCTTTGTAATTTTGTAATATTCATTTTCAGTTGTTTTGTGGCTGTTCTTTCCATTTCTATTACCATAGCCATGTGTATATTATTTCCTTGACTCTCCTTACTTAATTTTGAATCAGTTTATATGTCTTTCCATACTTCTCTATTCTTATTACATTTATTGTTTCTTATGATATACAATTATATTCATTTGCCACAATTTCTTTAGCCATTCCTCAGTTGATGGGCAGCTTTCAATTACAATATCATTCATTAAGTGCTTACCATTTGAAATGCACTTGCTAGGTGTCAGGGAAGATAGAAAAGAAATTAACTCAATTTTATTTTATTTTTATTTACATATTGTCTTCCTTCCTCCTCCCCCTCTCCTACCCATTGAGAAGACAAGAAGAAAAAAAAAACCTTGACAAATATGTATAGTCATGCAAAACAATTTCTCACATTAATCATGTCCAAAAAAGAAAGAAAAGAAAGGAAATAGGCTTCAGTTTGTACTCTGAGTACATCATTTCTCAAGATAGTAAAAAAATGTTTAAGTATCCTTCTAAATGCTCTTTCCTCCCTTGGATTCTAAGACACCACATTCTTCTGGTTTTCTTCCTAACTGTCTAAACTGCTTTCTTTGTCTCTAATACTAACTCTTCCTCCACTTCCTGACCCCCTTTATCCTAAGGTTCTGTCTTTAGTCCTTTCTTTTCTTTCTCTCTTAGGTGATTTCATTCACTGCCCCAACTTCATTACCATCTCTATGCAGAGTAATCTCAAAACCACACCTATTTTCCAAGTTCCAGATTTGACTCCAACAGCCTACAGGACATCTCCACCTAGATTTTCCACTGACGTCTCAAACACATATTCAAAGGAAACATTATTATTTTCCCTTCCAAACTTTCTCCTTCTGACTTCATTAGTAATATAATCCATACAGTCTTCTGCATGAAACATCAGTGTTGCTTTTAACTCTTCCCTCTCCCTTACACTTCAATCTTCTATCTGCAATATCTCATACCTGTCCCCATTTATCTATTCCCACTCCCAACATCCTAGTACCAGTTCTAATTTAATCAATCAAGCAATAAGTATTTATTAAGAACTTACTATATGCCAGATCCTATAGGAGGTGCATGGGATAAAAAGAAAAAGCAAAAACGGTAATACCATTCACATTATTTCAAGAGCCATCTAGGGGGTACTCCCATTTATACTATCACCCTCCCCACCCAAGTCTATCCTTCACACCACTGCCAGACCTGAATCATGCCTAGATCTAGTCATGACATTTTCTCAGCTCAAAAATCTTCAGTGACTCTCTTGCCTCTTGACTAAAGTTAAAACATTTGTTTCATTCCTATGTCCCCACAATCTAGCACCATCCCTACCTTTTCAGGAAGAGGGGAGGACTTGGGAAGAGACAAGGAGTTCCATTTTGGACATTGTAAGTTTGAGATGCCTGTGAAATATTCAATTAGACATGTCCAGCACACAGTTGGTTATGCAAGATTGGAGCTCAGGAAAAAGATGAGGAATGGATGCGTAGATTTAGGAGTAATCTGCACGTAGATGGACAATTTAACCCAAGGGAGCCAATAAGATCCACAGCAGAGAGCATATATAGAGAAAAGTGTCCATAACAGAGCTTGGGGGGGCACAATATGTGAGATAATTCAACAAAGGAAGCTGAGAAGATTCGATCATGCAGGTAAGAGAAAAACCAGGCAAAAGGAGTGTCTCCCAGGCAGGGAGAGAGGATCTAAAGAGGTCAATGATAATGAAGACTGAGAAAAGGGCTATTGTTTTTCATGTTTCAGAAATGATGGGAAACTTTGGAGGAGACAATTTTAAGTCAAGTAAGGGAAACAGAAGCCCAAGTACAAAGGTATTTGAAAGAGAAGGGGGAATGAGAAAGCAGAGACAGTAAGTGTAGGTCGTGAAAGAGAAAAAAGATATAAGCTGATAGTTTGAAGTTATGTTGGGGTCAAGTGACATTTTTGTTTTGAGGTTTTTGTTTGTTTGTTTTGTTCTGTTTTAAAGAATGAAGTAGACCTGTAGGCAGCATAGGAGAAGGAAAGAAGCCAATGCATGCTCTAACCCAATTAGGCTACTGGCCAGTCACTGTACATACCCCACATTTGACTATCCCATGCCTTTGCTTATATGCTTATTCTCAATGCTGGAACATCCTCCAATCCTCCTTTTTTGCCTTATAAGTTTCTACTGATCCTTTAAAAGCTAGCCCAATTGCCACCTCTTCCAAGTATTCTTCCCTAATCCACCCAAGCCAGTAATAATCTCTCCTCTTTCTGGATATGACATAGTTTCATTCTCACATAATAATTGGTTATTATGATTGTGTACCTGGGGCATCCCTCTTCACCATATGCAGCCCTCGGACAGGTTATCCCAGTTCCACACCCACTCAAAACCATAGCTCACAATCACCCACCAATATGTTTATTGTTGCTATTCAATTAGAGTGGAGGGATCAGAAAAGGCTTCAGGTGGCATCTAAGCTGGGATGCAAGGATGGGTAGAATTTCAGTGTGGGAAGCCATACTGGAGAGAAGAAAGTGAAGGCAGATGGGGACGATCTTAGATATGTCTTCCTGTGTGTTACAGACTGGCTGATCCTCCAGGCTCCTTACTCTGTGTTTGAAGGAGATGCTGTGATTTTGCAATGCAAAGGATGGAGGAAAGCTGAACTATCCAAGGTTACATTTCACAAATGGAGGAAACCCATTTACTTCACTAAGGAAAACAAACCGTTGTCCATCAAAGCAGCAAATATAGAGGATAGAGGCCAGTACAGTTGTAGTGGGTATATGAGGAATGGAAATATACATGAAAACTCTGAACCTGTCATCCTTCAAGTCCAAGGTAAGTGGCCATGGGATGGAAACTGCCAAGGATAAGGCCACTGGAAACTATTAAGTCTCAGAACAGGAACCCATCCTCTGAGGATTTCCATGGTAGAATATTCTTAGCTAGCAGGGCCAGGGCTCAAGATGCTTACTAAGAATTATTCTAGAGCAGGCTGATTGAGGAGAGGAAAACAAGTCCTGGTGAATAGGTCACGGTCTTGCATTGAGGTTATTGAGTTCCTAGATTTGGAGACTGGGAGTCCCACTGTGACTGCAGAATGGAGAAGGAAAAAGAATAAGTGTTTATACAGAGCCAGCTATCTACTAAGGACAGGTAGGTGGCACAGTGGATAGGGTGCAGGGCCTGGAGTCAAGAAGACTCATCTTCATGAGTTCAAATCTGGCTTCAGACACTTAACTTAGCTATGTGACCCTGGGCAAGTTATTTAACTCAGTTTACCTCAGTTTCTTCATCTGTCAAATGAGCTGAAGTAGGAAATGACAAACCACATCAGTATCTTTGCCAAGAAGACCCCAAATGGGGTCACAAAGAGTCAGAAATGACCAGGCACTGTGCTAAGTGCTTTACAAACATTATCTCATTTGATCCTCTCAACAACTCTGTGAGTTAGGTACTGTCATAATCCCTATTTTGCAGTTCGGGAAACTGAGGCAGAAAACATTGTGACTTGCCCTGGGTCAGACAGCTAGTAAGTGTCTGAAGCTAGACTTGAACTCAGATCTTCACAACTCCAGGCCCAGTGCTCTATCCATTGCATCATTCAGCTGGAATGAACTGCTGCTCAGTTTCCTCCAGCCTTTCTTTCGAGCCCTTAACTCCCAGGACTTACCCCTTCCCAATTTTTCCTTGATTCTAAGTCTGACTTCTCCCCAGAGCTGTTCCCTCGGCCTGAGCTGAGAATCAAAAATTCCACTGAAGCCGTGTCGGGGAGCCTGACGACTTTGAGCTGTGAGACACAACTAACCCCGCAGAGGTCAGCCTCCCGCCTCTATTTCTCCTTCTATAAGGATAATAGCACCATAAGAAGCAGAGACCAGTCGCCAGAATACTGCATCCCAGCAACCATAATGGCAGGTGCTGGCTTTTACTGGTGTGTGGCAGCCACCGAGGATGGCCAAGTTCAGAAACAGAGCCTCGGGCTGGAAATTCAAGTGAGTGGGAAAGGGGAGTGGGAACACTCTTGGGAAATAGTGGAGAAAGGCTGCCTGTGGAGTCTGGGAAGTGGGAATTTAAGTGAAGCTGGGAGAGTAACAGCTATAAAGATGAGAGGAAAGAATGACCTTTCCCATTAATATAGAACTTGCACTGCCCCTCAGGGGGCCAAAAGGCATCCAGAGCCCAGCAGCCTCTCTGACTTGTCTTCTCTTTCAAGTCCATTATCTCATCATTCCTTCACCTAACTGACGGTGTCACAGTAGGGGACACAGTAGAGCTTCAGGGTGACCAGTAAAGGGACTCTGTCCTCTACAAGGGAGAAATCCTTGGTAACAAGTTCAGGTGCCCATGGAAGACTTGTCCCCCCTTCCTCCTCTCCGTGATGTTAAAGGGAGATGCAGGAAATTATTCCTGAAAACAGCCCCCAGTTTAAAGAGTGAGCCTGCAGCTAGCTCTCCAGAGAGAGAATGTGGTCTTCCCAAATGGATTCTATCTGAGATCAGGATTAATTAAGCTTTGTACCCTGCTGTCCAACACAGTCCTGGGCTCATGGTAGCTGCTCAGTAAATGTGTGTTGACTAAGTGTGTTCTTCCTTTCCCCTGCTTCTAATCCCATTCCTGGAACATCTCAACTCACTGGGGAAATAATGAGACTTCTCAAGAAATTAATATTTTCTTCATACACCACTCCTGAAACTGAGCTGCCCCATTCATTGTTCTCAACCTCTCTTTCCCTGCAGAGGTACAGAAACCAGACAGCCTGGAGACCTTTCAGTTTCCCAGCTTGTTAGGTTAGGCTTCTCTAGCCTATCCCTTAAAATGACTTCAGGAAATCTCAGCAACCAAGTCTCTCTTCTCCAGGGCTCCACAACTCTCCCCTCGGTCCCCGTGGGGCACAGGAGGAGCCAGCTGGTTCTGGGGATAACTCTGGCTCTGTTTGGCATGATTGGAATCACTGCAGTCTTTCTGCATTATTTCAGGCTCTTGAAGAAAGCAGGTCAGTCTCTTCCTTTGGCATCCTCTGGTGATCGATTCCAGTTCTGGCTGGAACCCCAACCCCACCTTCCCCCTGCACCCTAAAACTCACCCCCTAGGGTTATGACCCATTCTCACATCTCAGAAAAGGGCATGCTGATATTTCACACATACACACTCAAAGGATACCCCAGGCCTGAGGAGAATGAGGCTATAAAAAATTAAAACTTGAAAAAGAAAAAAAAAGCTGGCCAGAATAATAAGAAGCGTAATAGTAAGAAGTGGACAGCTTCAATTACAATATCTTGGCTAAGTGGGTCAGAGGTCAGCCATTGGGCAACCCTGGCAAGGAGCAGCAAATAGTTTAAAAACTTATAAATCATTGCTGACCACATTTGAAAACACTGCTTCTGAAAAGGGGAGCTCTGGGTGGGTGTGATTATGGTTGAAAAGACAGGTAACCACAATATTATTAGTTCATACTTCTACAGCATTTGAAGATTTACAGACTGACAACTTTGTGAGGCAGGGCAAGTCCTCCCATATTACAGATGAGCAATGGAGCCTTAGAATGGAGGACTGACTTTGCCACAGGGACGTACACACCTGGTAAATGCCAGAGCCCAGACTCAAACCAGAGTCTTCTGATTCTTGTAGGACCAATGGTGTAGAGCTGAAAGGGACTTCATAGACCATCAAGTTCAACCCATTTATTTTGCAAATGAAGCTAAGTAACTTCCCAAGGACACTAACAGTGTCTAGCGATCTTAACTTCAAGTGGCTGGAGTGGAAGACAGAGGAAGAAATGAGGATTGGGGAATAATACTTCAGACCCCTCAAGCCCAAAGCCCATGCATACGTGTGGGCATCCTCACCCAAAATGTGTACAGTGCCTTGTGTTTATCAATAATAATTACAATAATACCAGTTATAACAGTAATAGCTGCCTTTTTCCAGGGCTTTACAATTCAGAAAGTACTTTACATTCATTTGTCTAATTTGATCCTCTGTGCATCCCTCTAGGCCAGGGGTGGGAAAACTGTGGCCTTAAGGCTGCATGTGGTTTTCAAAGTCCTTAAGTGCAGCCATTTGACTGAAACTAAATTTTACAACATGTTCTGTAAAATTTAGTTTCAATCAAAAGGCCAAACTTAAGGACCTAGAAGGCCTTAAGGCTGTAGGTTCCCCACTCCTGCTCTAGGCTAATAGTTGTGTCTTAAGCCTCTCCTACTTACAGGGATTTCTAAGCTGGGGTCCATACACTTATTTTTGTTTGTTTGAATATTTCAATAACTGGTTTTTAATATAAATTGCCTTCCTTTGCAATCCTATGTATTTCATTTTGTGCCTTTAAAAGCATTATTCTGAGAAGGGATACATGGATTTCAACCAACTGCCGAAAGGATCCATGACGCAAGCTAAAAAGGTTAAGAATGCCTGCATCTAACTCCAAATGCCTTTGTCTCTAGCCAGTCACAGGGAACCCTCACCCTCACCTGTACTACCCCATTGTCTCCTTTTCAGAACCTTCTCCTTACATTGTCGGTCCCTCCCTTCAGCCTCTCCCCATCCCAGAGGAAATTGCCCAAGTTCTTCAGTGGTACAGGAGGGACAGGAATAGGGTTAAGGACTGACCTGTCCTTTTGTTGGTGTAGGGCACTCCTAGGTAAGGGAACTCCCTCTACCAATACAAGTTGGCACCTGCCCTGCAATTTTGAGTCCAACAGAGTTAGTTGCCTAGGCACCAAAAGGTTCCATGGCTTGTCCAGAGGCAGAGTCAGCATTGTCAGAGGTGAGGCCTGAAGCCTCAAGGATAGGAGAGGAAACAGAGAAATCAGCCTCCACTTAACCTTCAGTGATGGAGAATTCAGCAGCTACAGGAGCAGTCCTTTCCATTTTCGGATGATTCATTGCTAGGTCTCTTATCCTTAAGACAAGCCAAAATGTGTCTCTCTGCAATCTCCAAACAGCTGCTCCTGGTTCTAACCTCAGGGACCATGCAGAACAAGCCAGATCTCCCTTCTACAGGGTAGTATTTGAAATCATTGAAGATAGCTACTAGGTGTCCCTACTCCATAGCTTCTCTATGACTAAGCATTCCAATGGAAACATAGACACACATGTGGCAAAGGCACAATGGAAATATCTATTAGGTTCCTGTTAGTTATTTTTGTACACACTTGATTTTACAGAAGGAACTGCTGCCCCAGATCCTGCCAGGTGAGTCTGCTGCCTTCATGTTATGAAAGCTATTCCTTAGACACCAGCAACGGCCCAAGTGGTGTATAAACCCATGACCCAATCCCTAACTTGCTGAGAGCCTTCACTAGGGCAGGATGCCACCTTGTCCCCACCAAGGTTAACACACAGCCATCCCAACACATCACATATTATAGTTCTTGTCTGGCTTGTGCCCCCGTGGGGTTTGGACAGGAAGGCAACCCCAGTAGAGGGTGAGAGGACAAGGTCAGTGGTGGCAGAGATAGAGGAGAAAAAAACAGGCTGCCCTTTCTACTACTATGGCTACTGTACCTAGGAGGAAAAAGTCACCCTGAGAAAAGACAAGGAAGTAGAGTTGCTGGTAGTGAACATCAGGGAAAGATGGGGATGAACCACTTCCAAAGACTGCATCCAAATATAGCTATCTTTTCCAGGGCTGGCCTGCCTTCTGGGTCCACCACCTTCAAGGCCCATACTCTCATTCCTGTCTACCTCAGCCTTTTCTGGTCCTTCCTTAGTCCTCTTTTCCACTCTGCCTTCTAGGACCCTCCTCTGTGGTTAACAAACTTCCCTTTGTCCCAGATCTCTTCTTTCTACATTCCTCTTCTTTTTTGGGTACTCAATGTAACCTAGCTTTCTTCTGAAGACACCACATCATTTGTCACCCTCTTCAAGACTGGGTATTCTTTCTCCTACACCTACTGACACACAGTGCCTGGGGAGAGGATTTAATATACTCCTTGCTCTCCACTGCCACCATCACTCAGCAACCATCTCTCCTCCTTTAAAATTTGTTCCACCCTGTCCAGATTCTAGATGTTGCCATCCAGAGACTTTCAGTTCACTCTCCCTCCTCCCAAAAAAGTTCAGTACTTACCTCATAATCTTCTTCACTCCAACCCCTGCTCCCTCTTAAATTGGCCTTCCCAAATGTTTATCTTCCTCAATTCCCCTCACCTCTGTCTTCAGTCAACATTAGCTATACGTAGAAATGGTTATACTTAGACTCTGCCCTTGACCCAACTTAGCTGAATTTCAGAAATACTGGTTATGGCTCTATCCCTGGTCCTTCTTTAAAAAGATTCTGAGGTACCAATTGTCTTGAGCAGTTTGATGTTGATTTTAGTTCTCTACTGTCCATCTTTCCCATGGTTTAGGATTCCTCTTGGACCACATCATTAGGAGAAATCATCTCATAAAAGCTAACTGTGTGCAGCCCTATGGGTTAACCCTCACAAACAGAACAGTGCCCTAAGCCTGCTGTGAATCAATATTCCCCTTCTACTAGCCCAGCCCAGAACCCACAATCTGTTTCACAGCTTTATCTTTCCTCAATGTTCATTTTCATTACTCTCTGTTTCTTAGGGGTCCTTTCTTCCCAGGAACTCCAGAAGCTGTTAAGGCTTCCTCATCACAAGACCTGGAGTCTTGTCCAGTGTATGCCAATGGTAAGGGTCAAGCCGCTCTGCTGGACTGGACTGTCCATTGGAGACAGAAAAAAGGCCTCTTTGAAAAGGAGGATGAAGAAGTCATGGACCTTAGAACTACCTCAGGCACTTCTGGGGAATAATAATAATAATAACTCACATAGAGGCAGCTAGGTGGTGCAGTGGATAGAGTGCTGGGCCTGAAGTCAAAAAGACTCCTCTTCCTGAGTTCAAATCTGGCCTCAGACACTTACTAGCTGGGTGACCCTAAACAAGTCACTGTTGTGTCAAATGAGCTGGAAAAGGAAATGGCAAACCACACCAGTATCTTGGACAAGAAAACTCCAAATGGGGTCACAAAGAGTCAGAAAGTACTGAATAACAACAACCTCACATTTTATTTTAATGTTTACAGAATATCTTCCTCACAAGAACACTTTGTATTAGGTAGCATTCATATTATTATCCCCACTTTACAGGTGTGGAGATTGAGGGTCAAAGAGGTTAAGTGAATTGTGCATGGTCACACAGGCAGACAGTCTTTCCTTCTCTTGCCAACGCATCTTCTAACAAGAGGCAGATGGAGAGCAGTAAGCATGGATGTGGCAGAGCTGGTAGTAGAAAAGGAGAAAGACAGAAGGCATTGCAAAAGAATAGAGCCTCCATTGTAACAGTAACAACATAATAATAACTAGCATTTATACAGTGTCTAAGTACTGTGCTAAGCACTTCACAAATATTTCATTTAATCTTCACAATTTGGGAGGGATTTCCCCATTTTCCAGTTAAGGAAACTGAACCAAACAGAGATTAAGTGACTTGCCCAGGATCATACATCAGACTAAGTGTCTAAGGCTAGATTCAAACTTGGGTCTTCCCGACACCAGGCCCAGTGTTCTTCACCCCCTCAAGCTATAGAAACCACCTGTGACCCAATTTCTATCCCTGGTCACTTATGGAGGCCTGATCATCACAATCTATCTGCTGTTGTACAAAAAGTACCAGGCTGGCCATCTGCAGACCCAGGTTCTATCTAATCCTGACTGCCACTCACTCTAAGCATGACCAGGAACAAGACATCTGACCTCTTAGGCAGACTTAGTTTCCTAATCTGTAAAACGGTGAATTTGAACTAGATGCCTTGAGAGTACAGGGGAAAGAATAGTAAACTAAGAATGTGGAGAGCTGGGTTTTAGTCCTGACTTTAAAGTAACTTGATATGTGATCCTGGGCAAGGGGTTATAGGTCTCTGGACCTCCATTCCAGTAGTGACAAAATGAGAAAGTTGGACTGAAGTAATGGTAGGTTCCCTTCCAGCTCTAGTACTCTATGGGGGGGGGGGGTTAGCCTCTTTTGCCCCACATTTTTCCAAAGCAAGTTCCCTTGTCCCCATGTATTCTACTCATCCTTGCTATTATGATAATACTCACATAGACTATCCTTCTCTTTGAAAGTGCCCTCAGATAGCCCCAGAGACCTTGATCCATGCCTGGGATCAAACAGGGGGGTGGGATTCATGGTCTTGGGTTGGGTGAGTCATCTCTGATGACCTCATCTCTCCTTCCAGTGAATCCTCAAGATACAGAGAGTGGAGATGTGCTCTATTCTGTGGTATTTTCCAGGAAACAGAGAAAGAAAAGTGAGTAACTAAGAGTGGATGAGGTCAGGGCAAGGGGGGTGGTCTGGGGCAAAGAAAACTGTGTTTGCACCCTCCCCTCTCCCCAAGATTCCATTCTCCAACCAATCTCTCAGGTCTGATCATACCGCTCCTACTTAAAAAACTTCACTGGCTCCTTGTTACCTATAAAATAAAATGAAATGAAATGAATGAAATGAAATGAAATGAAATGAAATGAAATGAAATGAAATATAAAATAAAATAAAACAAAACAAAGTAAAACAAAATAAAATTTTTAGCCTGGCATTTAAGGCTCTCCTCAATTTGGTTCCAACCTACTTTTCTTAAAGGTTCTTTTTTTTATCAAGTACTTAACAAACATCAACAATTCAATGTATGATGAACACCCCCTACATTCTGTTTTCTCATCATCCTCCTCCACCCCATTTCACCCATGTCCAGCCCAACTCCAGCCCACCTGCCCCCTTGGTATGTGCCCTCTGGGTTTCTCATCCATAATGAACAAGCCTCTCTCCACTCAGGACCTCTTCCTCTCATACTCCCCTGATGCTTGCTCTCACTGAGACCTAGCTTCTCCCAGACAGTGCTGAATCCCTGGCTGTCCTTTCTGGGCAGCCCTAGGGCAGCCCTCCTCCTCCATCTCCCCAGTGCACTGGTCCTTGCCCCTCACTGTCATTTCCAGCTTCTCCCTTTGAGCAACTGCTCTCCCTTTTTGGAGTTTACTCTATTAAAACTTTTCACCCTCTGCAGATAATGGGGACTATCATCTGTTATTCCCTCCTTGCTCACACACATGTGCCCCGGGTCATTCTCCCTCCATTCCGAAGGAGTTCAGCACTTAAGCGCACTATCTTCTTCTCTTCCCCAATACCTACCCTTATTTTACGGGGGGACTTCAACATTCATGGTGATGTTCCCATAAACATCCTAACTTTACACCCCTCTAGTCTCCTCAGATTTTATGACCTACCCCTCCACTCCACCTCAGTTGTGCACAGGGATGAGATCTTGACATTACATACACATTCCACTTCCTTGACCAAAAACTCTAGCATTAATTTATCTGACTATAACCCCCTGTCAGAGCAGCCAAGTGGCACAGTGGATAGAGTGCAGGTCCTAGAGTCAGGAAGACTCATCTTTCAGAGATAAAATCTGGTCTCAAACACTTACTAGCTGTGTGACCCTAGGCAAGTCACTTAACCCTGTTTGCCTCAATTTCCTCATCTGTAAAATGAGCTGGAGAAGGAAATGGCAAAACCACTCTAGTATCTTTGCCAAGAAAACCCCAAAAGGGGTCACCAAGAGTTGAAAAAAAATGAAATGACTGAACAACAAAACCTCCTATTATTCCATCTCTCCCTTTGCCTCACCCCTCCCTTAGTACTTTCCCTTCCTCTTCTGTTCTGACTCCTGCTCTAACTTCACTTTTCTCTCTTCCTAATTTCAATCCAATGGTTAACCAATTCAACCTCACACTGTGCCCTGCTTTTGAAATTCTCATCCCCATAGGAGCTGTTTCTCCTTTTTAAATGGGGCAACCCCCTGCAGGACACCCCCTCCTCCTCCTCCAAAGTGGTTAGTCCTAAAACCCCTGTCTCCTGCTGTAGGGAAGAGGCCCTGGCTCCAGTACTCTTAGCAGGTCCCTAGGCCCACAAACACTGCCCAGCGCCGCTCCCTGCCCGGTGACCTACTGGGAGCTGGTTCCATCACTTGTTCTTGGCTTGGCAGGCCCCAAACAGATATCAAAGATCTCAGTGGTCTCAGGCCTCCTGGAGTAAACCTTCTTCCCCTCCCCCTGACACAAGCATTTCATTAACTCTGTATCCCATTGTGGCTCTGGTAATACTGGTTTCGAGTGTTTCGGAAAGTTCTCATTTTTGCACAAACTGTCTAGCCCTTTCCTCATGTAATGGTCTATCAGGAGCTTGCTCTGTCCTATGCTGAGGCCCTAACATGCCAGGGCCAAGATCCCACTGACTTCAGGTCCTGTCAACTAAGCCTCATTGGCTTTTAACTTTTCCTTCTTTATTCCCCCTCTAGAAGTTCACAGGCTTCTGGCTACCTGTATAGTCATGGGCTAGATAGAAGTACTTACTACTGTTTCTCTTTGGCCAACTTGACCATTATTTCATCTGATACCTTTTACATCTTTGCTGAGATGTTTGGCAGGAGAGCTGGGCTGCTTTAGGAACTTTCTGGTCACCTCATGCCAGGAAGTCTTCTCCAAACTGTTTTTCCTGCATTACTCCTCTCTACTCCCCTCACAGATTCTACATTCCAGATACAGTGGAGCAGGAGTGGTCTCTGATCCCATCATGCCCTATCCCAACTTAGGACATTCACACAAACTGAAACCTATTCTTTCCATGTCCCTGAGACCTGTGGAAAGCCTACTCATTCTTCAAGACCCACCTCAGGAGTCACCTCTTCCGTAAAGCCATTGATGATCCACTCCACTAAAAATGATCTTCCCTTCCTCATATTCTCTTAAAGCACTTTGTCTAGACCCTTCGTATCCCCTTCTTACATTTTCTCTTGTATAATACTTATTTGTGTACATCTGTATCCTTCCCATTAGATTGTAAATTCCTGGAAGATATGGATTGTTTTATCATTCTTCTTTGTAACCCATTACATAGCATAGGGCCTTGTCCATGTTCAGTCACTTCGGTCGTGTCTGACTCTTTGTGACCCCATTTGGGGTTTTCTTGGCAGAGATACTGGAGTGGTTTGCCATTTCCTTCTCCAGCTCATTTGACAGATGAAGGACTGAGGCAACCAGGGTTACATGACTTGCCCAGGGTTACATAGCTAATAAGTGTCTGAGGCCAGATTTGAACTCAGAAAGATGAGTCTTCCTGATCCAGGCCCAGCACTCTATCCCCTGTACCACCTAGATGTCCCAGGGCCTTACTCATAGAAGCTGCTTACTAAATATGTATCCAACTCATCTGAATTGAAAGGAGCTAGCTTTGAATTTCCACCTCTGATAATGTCCTGTCAAGAGGCAATAGAGGAAGGTGAATATGACCCCCGACCTCAAGAAGCTGTGGTCAAAATAGGGCATATCTGAATGTAAGTTAATGTTGAAAGAGAAGCACACAGACTCCAGTTTTAGCTGTTGGAGCTGTAATATGACAGATTTAGGAACTGAAAAATCTGAGGCCTCTCCCTTAGCCAAGGCTATGTGACTAGGAAGCAAATCTTCACTGTCTCTGAGAGGTGGGGGAGGGGACTTGCTGCCTCCTACTTCACCACACATCTGGGTGAAGAACGGGTAGGGCTCATGTAAAATAGAGCTGAATTACCCACCCCACCAGAAGCTGCATGGGTACTGTCTAGGGCACAAAATTGGGAGGGAGGGTGGAGGAAATGGGGCTTTTGACAACAGATGAAGTCCCATTATGAGAACAGCTAAGGAGAATGAAAAGGGAAGTAGTCTCCTACATATATACTGTTTCAATGTGAAAAATAAGGAAGTGTCATAGTCTATCCACAGATCTAGCTTTAACCTGGACTAAGGTAGTGGGGCTGGTTCAAGGCTTTCTCTTGGGAAAGAAGTAAAATGACATCTATCTTATTCTAACCTTTTCCAAATTCTGGTTCAGTTCAATCCAATTCAACTTAACAAACATTTACAAAACACATTATTTGTGCAGAGCCTTGTTCTAGGAGACATACAAAGCTAGATAAGACAGTGCCCACATTCTTGGAGCACATATTCTAGTACAGGAATATGACACATTTATAGATAGCTATTAAAACAACTTAAGATGTGACCTGCTGTACAATGGAAAGAGAATTGATTCAGAGCCAGAGGACCCCGGCTCAAATCCTAAGCTTGACACTTATTGTCTTTGTAACCCTGGGTAAATTAGTTGGGACCACACTTGGAGTGCTACCCCAGTTTTGAGGTGCATTGTAGTGAGTGAGCATCTCCTCAGAACCGTGGCCCGCGAGTCCCTAACAATGCTCTATTTGAAAAGCTAGTCAAGAGACACAATAGTTCCAAGCAACAAAGAAAAGAACAGCAAAAGACCATTCAACTAAACAGTCCGGCAAAATAAGTAACAAGAAAGATTTCTTCATGCAAACAGTGTTATATTCTCCCACAGATTACCATACCACTAGTGGGAAAGAGAAGACACGTGGTCAGGAAATAGGAATATATATAGTCTACATGAAACACAAACGTGTATGAGACATGTAACCAAGGAATACACATGAGAAACTACATAACACATGTGACCAGGGAAACATCTGGAGAAACACACACCTAACTGGGTGTACAAGGGTGATACAGTATGTTGTCGTTGAGTTATTTCAGCTGTGTCTGATTCTTCATGACCCCATTTTGAGTTTTCTTGGCAGAGATACTAGAGTGGCTTGCTATTTCCTTCTCCATCTCATTTTACACATGAGGAAACTAAGGCAAACTGGGTTAGGTGACTTGCCCAGGGTCACCTAGCTAATAAGTGTCTGAGATCAGATTTGAACTCAGATCCTCCTGATTCCAGGGAGAGCACCATATATGGCCATTAAACTCATGCTTGCAAGGTGGTGTTTGAGCTCAATCCCTTTTCTGCCTCCAGTGTTGCTGCTTGCTTCCTTCCTTGCAGGGCCAATGTTATCAATATCTTCTGATGATGTCTTTCGACTGTGAGCTGCTCTCTCCTTGGGCTTGGAGTCCTTCCCCGACTGCTTCTAAGCTGCTCTCTGCTGCCATCTTCTGGCCTTCACATGCTTATGCATCCTCTTCTAGTCAGCTACATTTTTTTTGGTCTTTTTTTTCCTCCCATCTTTGCACTGAATTGTAGCTGCTATTTAGGGCTTCTGCCCTGCAGGGAGACATCTCTACTCCGTAAGCCATAGCCCCAGGAGTCATTGCAGCTCACTCATCCAGGCAGCCATCAAAAGAAAACGTAAGTTATCAGGCTTAGATGAAGTCTATCTTTTTAAAAACTCAACTCCTCTTCTACTGCTCAGGGTCTTCCAAC